TCTTTTCTGCCTGTCGGCGGTCAATCTCTGCCTGCTCAGCAGGTGTGGGCCCTGGCTTCACTACTCCTGATCGCATCATCATGCGGGATGTGCACACGCGTCCGAACCCCAGTGGGAATATGAACCTGAACAGTGGGCCCCACAAGACAGAGAGGGCCAACAGGCCCTGAATGGGATAGTCATCCATGATGACTGCCGGCACAGGAGACCCTCCRCCGGATCACCAAGATACTATCCCACTTACAGACTTAGTTTTGACTTGCAGTAATGGAGTACTATACTGCCTCTTTCCCTTTTCTGCTGACTTAGTTTTTTTTGTTTTTTTTTTTGATGTGCTATCTGGCCTCCCGGATCGAACTTTTGGTAATGTGTTTCTGTTGTCTTGCTTTCTCTTTTTTTTTGTTGGTACTAACTTGGCTGGTTGCTGGGTACAGATATGGAGTAAGCGCAGAAGGTCAGATGCAATTGGTTCACTTCTCCAACCAGGCAGAGATACTTYGTATACCCTGTTCTTTCTTTCGGGCTTGACAGGCCCTGCAAATGCTCAATATAATCCTTATGCTGCCTGGTACCTGCTATCTGACGTGGCTCATAGCCCTTCCCACATCGATCCTTGGTTCTTAATGACGATACCCAGCCTGCCTAACAAGAGGGATAAGAGAGAGACCTACTCCTATTCGCAGGACACTGGACCACCTACTCTAGTGTGACCAGTTCCTGACACATCACACTTGGGTCGTCAGACTCTGACGGCTCAGACCTGACAGCTATGACACCCCAGATCCAGACTTCGACTCCTGACCAGATCAGCAGCAGTCACCTTCAGAGGGTCAGAGAGAGAGAAGGTAGGGGACACACACATGCATGCAGGTTCAGGGAAAGGAGGTGCTTCTCTCTTTTTGAAGATACCGCCGATGATGCTCCACGACGCTCCGCACACTCCAGGTAAGTAACTTCGTCACTTCTTCTTCGGCCTGCTTCCCCCACTATCGCACACTTTATCTCCTCCTCCCTCCTTCACTATCCTCCATCACCACTTCTTCTCGCCGGCCTTGATCAGACCAGCGCTATGAGTGTAGCGAGCATCTGCTCCGATACCAAAAATTGCATGAGTCCTGGGGACCATCTCACGCAAGTGTGTACATGCCATGCATCGTACTCCCACACACAATGAACAGTAGTCTCACAATAGACAAAGATAGAGAAGATGAGGACCGAGTTTCACARCTTATATTATCAKAAATATGAATACAAAGTRTTTCAAAGKTCCCCTGAGTCCAGCGCTCATCAGCGCAACACCAATATCTTGCCAACTCATCAATATGACTTCYAGTGAATCAGTGCTACCCCTGCAGATAGTCTCCAAGTTATCAATGTGGTCACTACTCATCAGCGCCACCTCTRCWGGTCACATCCAACTCAGGTAAGTATCTTCCATMGCCAAACCTTGAATGAACACTCTCAGCCTCAATCCCTTCCTCCTATGATGCATACACACTCTTTAATACTCRTGAGGATCTACTCTGGATACTACTCATAGCTACATACTAACCCTCTACTACTAATGCTAACTCGCTGGGCAGCTATGGCTGCATCACTTCCAGCGTGCAGGCTTCTTCCTCCCTCCACCGCGTCTTCTCCTCCAGCGCTGCTCCTCCTGACTCAGCGCACAAGCGCACCAGCACTTCCACGCATTGCAGCCAGTGGAGATCTGGCGAGAAATGAGGCAGGCAGCTCCCTATATAGTGCTGGCCACTCCTCGCTGGGTCTGCATTGGCTCAATTCGGCCTTTCCTTTGTCCCAGACCCTGCATTGCATGTGTCCCAGTAGAGTCCCAATGAAGTTCTACTGCTGCTGTGGCCTCTCGGCCTGTATTTGGACTTGAAAGTCTGGATCTGGACTGACCCCTTGACCCAAACCAGAACTGGGACTGTGCCTATTGACTTTACTTTCGGACAGGCACAACTCTAAACGAACAGACACATTCCTTTGCACGAACAGGTACACTGTCTGCACGTACAGACACACTCTTACCCGAACAGACATCACAGACACAGCTCCTAGTGAACAGGTAAATCCTTTGACAATGCCCTTTGCCTTAGATTTAGATGTGCCTGTTGATAGAGAACTTGACCTTTGACCTGCTTTCACGTTTCTGAGCTCTGGCGAGATACAAGTCTTTTGACAATGCCCTTTGCCTTAGATTTAGATGTGCCTGTTGATAGAGAACTTGACCTTTGACCTGCTTTCACGTTTCTGAGCCCTGGCGAGATACCTTTTCACAATGCTTTACTTTTTTCATGTTGCTTTTCTTTTGCAAGGTCTGAGGCCTGCATCGGGTAAAGCCCCTTTTACTCTCGCCGGCCTAAATTCGAAGTCCTCTGAGAATCATTCACTTATCAAGGATATGAATCCCTCTTTGCGCTTTCGTATGCAGATACAATATGAGGTGTGGAATCTAGTAGTTCTTCTCTTGTAAACCAGCGATCTTCACTAGGATCCTGGTATGCAAACCTCACCTTATACTGTCGCTGTGGTCTGCCCCTACATCCAGTGTGGTAAGTACTTTCCGCTACGATCTTATCCACATCATACTTCCCATCCATACTTGGAGGTATCGCTGATCGGCGACTTGGGAAGAGCTCATTTGTTACACAAGGTGGGAGCTTGGACGCATGAAATGCTGGATATGTACGTAGATGAGGAGGAATCTCAATGACATACGAAGGACCATCCACATCTCCAATTACGTCTAAAACCTGTCAAGGTCCTCTGTAGGTGGGTAAAAGCTTCTGAGAGATGCTTTCTTCAGGAGCAAACTCTCTAGACTTCACCCAAACCAAATCTCCTACAGCAAATTGGGACGGTCGTCTGTGTTTATTTGCCTGTTCTATCATTCGATGTTGTGCTTTGAGGATATTTTCTTTTACCTTCTCAAGATCCTTCTGATATTGGATTGCAAATTCACTAGTCCCTATAGGAAGCTTATGTACTTGATCCGGGTTCAATCGATCAATGGGTCTGCGTGGACGCCATCCTAGATGTAACTCCATAGGAGTCTTACACGTAGAGAGGTGTACAGAGTTATTGTAGGCACTAGCAACCTTAGGCAGATGTTCATCTCAGTCAATCTGATCGGGACGGATGTACATGCGTAAAGTTTGCTGCAAAATCTTGTTCATCTGCTCAGTCTGGCCATTAGTCTCAGGATGCCTGCCTGACGACATAGTCAACTTAGAGCCATATACATTCATCAGTTGCTGCCATTGTTCACTTGTGAATCGGGTATCTCTGTCACTCACAATAGTTAAGGGATGTCCAAAGTCTTTTACCCAATGGTTAAAGAACTCCCGAATTACCAATTCAGTCTTTGCTTCCGATGGCAAAGCTACAAAAACAGCATACTTCGTGAATCTATCCACTATGGCCATTACCTGCGTTTTCCCATTTCTGCTTTTCACCTTAGTATCCATGAAATCTATAGAGACAGAGTCTCCAGGGTCCGTAGGGATAGGCAAGGGCTTGAGTAGCCCAAGGGGCGATTGCGTGGTGCTTTTGTTTCGTTGGCATACTTGACAACCTTGCACATATGCGATACAGTCTGCCTTCATTCGAGGCCAGGTGTAGGAACGCAACAAAGTTCCATAGGTCTTCTTCCACCCAAAATGGCCTTCGGTATCATGGCATTCCCCCAAGATCATACTCTTGATCTCTTCATTATTGGGTATACATAGCCTATCATTCACATTTGTCCRTTCAAATAATAGACCCTGAGTCAYTTTATGATCGGGAAACTCTGCTGGCTTTTCGT